AGTAATAGCAAAGCGATCGTGTTCGTGATCTAATTAAATATTTATTTAGGTATACAAAAGTGCATACCGGTATAAAAAAATTAAAAATTATTGCAAAAATGTTCAACTTGTTAGCAAGATTAAAAATTAAGCCTTTGGAAAGTAAATGATTAGAAAAGGGTAGTAATTGATTCCAAAGAGTCCATTTTAGTGTAGATTATTCGAAATCTTTACTAATTAATTTTAAGTAGAAGAGTAGATTATATATTGGTGTAAAAAGGTACAAAAATTCGAAATATGATGCTGAAATATTCAAATTCTTTTATTTTAAAAAATGGTCTTAAAGCATACAAAATTATGTTAAACAGTACAAATTTGTAAAAGTGCAAACTTTTATAAAAAATAGTGGAAATTTGTAGAAAATAAACTAAAAATAGTGAAATATTAAAATTTATACAAAATGAGTACAAATAACAAAAAATAACTAAAATTAGATAAAAATAAGCCAAATTGGAAAAAAATTAGCAATAAATAAATGGGATTAGTAAGAAATTATTAAAATTGGTAAGAAATAATAGATTAGTAGCAAAGAGCACAAATTAGTAGATGTGGGAATAAAATTCTGGAAAAAACGAAAATTAGCGGGAAAGAGCAAAAATTAGCAAAAATAGTTAAAATTAGCAAAAATGGTCAATGTTACTAAAAAAGAGCAAAACTTAGCAAGACATGTCCAAAATTACCGAGAAGGAGTACAAAATAACGAAAATCAGCAAAAATTAATGAAAACGAATTAAAATTCCTAAAAATAATCAGCATATTACTAGAAAAAAGTAATAATTACTAAAAAGTGTAAAAATTATTAGATAAGAAAAAAATACTAAAAACAACTGAAAGTTACTAAGAACGTTTACAGTTTACTTAAAACCAGTAAAAATTTAAGAAACGGGTAACAATATAGAAATTAACAGATAAATTTAGGAAAATATAAAATTCAGATCAAATGATAGAATTAAAAAAATTCTGCAAAACTATGCCTAAAATAAGAATAAGTGGTACCATTATTGGTGGTGCAAAGAGTCTAAAATTTGATACAAGGTGTTAAAACTTATACAAAATATAAAAACTGACACAAGATCAAAATTGAAACAAAATAATATATATGTATGTACTTATGTGTGGGTGTATGGGTGTATATGTTATTTTTAAAAAAAACCTTTTGATTTCAAACGATTGCAACGATTTTCTTTCTGAACTTCTAAAATAAGTGACAATCGAGTGACGTTTGAAATGTCACACATATTTTTATAGAAACAATATGCAAATAAAATTCTAAAAATAACAATATATTATTATCACCTATTTAAATCGAAATAATGACATCCAGTATTTTCTTTACGTTATATATTTTATAAAAAAAACATTTATTGAATCGTCAAACAGAGAATTGAAATTTAGTACATATGACATAAAATAGATTGTAACAAGAAGTTTGAGAAATATTAGAGAGAATTCAAAAGCCATTTTTACTAAATCCGCAAACTTAAAAAAAAATATTTTAAAACTCATACAATTTTAATTTTGAAAAAATCTCTGACGCCTTTAGGTTTTAAATCATATATTACTTTGAATCAAACAAATGTCTTAAATTTTTATTTTTATTTTATTTTCAATAATAATCAGAATACGTGACAATTCTATTTTTATTTTGAGTGGATATTTATATATTTTGGAATAGACCTAGACTTAAAATATTTTAGACCTTTAAATTTTAAATCAATTCTATGTAACTTTAACGTATCACTGTTTCACTTTAGTTACTTTTATTCATTCTATTGTTTTCTGTTTTGAGAGATGTCGTCGTCTAAAATTGCAATTGAATTGCGTAACATATTCGTATGAATGTTTGTGACATATTTCATGAACAAGTTGACTTCGATTTGAATTCTAGAGAAACAGTACCACAATTTTCATTAAAACACATAGAAACTATGAACGAAACGATAAAACTCTAACAATTTTATTTTTTGTTTAATTTACTTAATTTGTAACTTTTTCATATTTTAAATAAAGTTCCATTAACTTAAATAATATTGAAATATGTTGACATGTAAAGGTTAATTTTGTTAAGTTGTCACTAAATTATAATTTAATTATATAAATTAAAAAAATACAATTTGAAAAATAAGAACACTTTCTTTTTAATATATCTTATTAATTCTAATTAATATATATTAATAATCTTATTAAATTTAAACAAAAATTTAATTAATAAAAATAATTTTAAAAGTGGCTGACTTTCAGAAGAATTTTCAAATATTTTATAAGTTTTTTTTTTTTTAACAAATGTCATTAGAGTATAAACATGTTTTTATAAAAAAAATGGTTCAAAAATACATTTAAAAAATCACACATATTTGCTATTATAATATATTCAGTACATTTTCATCAGAAATTTTATTTTAAAATTACCTTATGATGTTTCAGTATTTAAAATGTAGGAGTTTCAATCAAGAATAAATATTTATTAAAAACGTGAAAACCATTTATTTTTCAATTGAATTTTTCATTGATTTTTTTTTCATAAAACTAGTTATTTATAAAATGTATATATTTTATCGCTATATAACTAAATTGCGGTAAATTAATTTTCTATCCTATAAAAATATTGTTTGAAAATGAAATTATTTCATGTTATTTTATAGGGAAAATAATTTACTTCGACGCGTAAGAAAAGCGGTGGAGCAATTTTGTATTTTATGTAGGTGTAAAAAATATTAATTTTAAAATTATTTTTATAAAGATTCTAATATGTGTGGAAGTAATTGTGAATTTTTTACACATTTTTTATTAATATGTAAGAAAATTTAAAATACTATTATCTGGACAAAGAATTTTTGTGTCATTCATTTATAAATTGTTCTATCATTATAAATATTTAAGTAAGATCTGTATTTTGCATAAATTTTCTTCAAAATGTAGTACATAAAAAAACACAAATTGTCTATATTGTGTTCTGAATTGTTAAATGTGGTCTGCAAGCTTAGTTTTAAATCTGTAATTTTTTTTTTACTATTTTTATGTTGTTGTAACCAATTTAATAAATTCTGACTCGTTTCTCCTATATAAATTAAAGTGCAATCGATACAGTTAATTTGATACACCATATTTTTTTATCTCATTTGGTTTAGTTTTTAAATTTTATTTTTAGTTCCCACTGAATGAAAACTAAGACTATAGTCGATTGTAAAATTAATTTTTAAAATAAATTTGTTTTTTCTCATTGGCGCCTTCCATAATACGAATTGCGTAATATTCTCTCTAAATCTCGTGAGAATTTATTATGTGCGTAAACAACAAATAAACAAAACAAATAAATGAATAAATTTATTTATCCCTTTTACTGCAATTTTATTTATTATTCATTTTATGTCGGAATTTTATTGCATTTCTTGTTTACGTCCATTTTGCTGTCTGCTCGAGAGCAAAACGGGTTGTATGATATTACGTCAATATATAAATATATACATATTTATACATACATATATATATATATATATATATATATGTGTGTGTGTGTGTGTGTGTGTGTAAATTATTATGTCGTCGGCAGTAAACGTATTTTATGGTTATCGTCTGAAAATAGAATAAATTAAACGAGTTATTGAATTTGCTAGTTTTTATTTGCTGATTTGGTCCGAGAGGGTAGCGACCTCATAATGTATATTTTTACCCCATTTTTAGAAAATAAGGACTCCGCTGACAAGCAGTAAAAGACCTTAAATCAAAGGTACAACTGGTCACCAAAACAAAACCTTAAAAAGGTATCCTAGTGTAGAGGCAAAAAATTTAGATCATTTTTGAATCAAATTAAAAAAAGATAATTATATTTTATTTAATTGCCGAAAAGGAACACAAAATACCAAAGAAGATTAAAATTTACCGAAAATCAGCAAAAATTACTAAAAATGAGTAAAAATTACTAAAAATAATCAGCATATTACCAGAAAAAAGCGATAATTACTAGAAAGGTAAAGAATATTGAAAAAAAAATATTAGAAACAAATGAAAGTTACTGAAGCAGTTGCAATTTACTAGAAAAGATTTAATTTTAATTAAAGAAACGATGAGTGATAATATAAAAATTACCATATAATTTTAAGAGAATAGAAAATTAGGGGTCAAAAACAAGAGATTTGATGTAAATTCTGCAAAAATAGTTTAAAGTGGTACCAATGAGCAAATATTGGTGCTAAGAGCCTAAAATCTGATATCAAGGAGTTACTGGCCACTGAAAAAGTTATTAATTTTAAAAATTAGCAGTTGAAGTGGAGTTCACAAAATAAAAAAAATGCAACCCTTCTAGTAATCGAAAAAATTAAAGTAAATTAATCTATGTTGATGTAAGCTATAGTATATATACTAGGATTAAATTAAAAAAACAAATTTGACAAAATGCTGACCAAAAATGACCATTACCTTAACACTTTTTAGAGTTTCTTGATTTTTTTAAAATAGTAAAAAATGATATTTGGTAATGAATATCTAAAAATTTCAAGTAAATCGGTTCAGTCGAACTCGAGAAATCGTGGACATCGTATTGAAAAATATAGTTTTGAGAAAAATGCAAAGAAGGAAACAGAAGAAGAATTTTATGGTAAATTAGATGTATCTCAAAAATAATTTGAATTTTAAAAAATCTTCTGTTACACATATTTTTTAAGAGTTAAGCTTCGAAAATATGAGAAATAAAATAACCCACCTTAATAATGAGTCAAGAGTGAAGCTTTAAAAATATGGGGAAAAACAATAAATTTTTTTTTGGATTTCTACACATTTTAAAATTTTGTTGAAAAAATATCAATATCTACTTCAGCATTAATTTTTCATGGATATATTGATATGATTTTCAAAATTGTAAAACATGTAGCATTGTTTGAAAATCATAGCAATATATCTATAAAAAATTTATGCTGAAATAGATATTTTTAAGAATGTGTTAGAATTTTATTTTTATTTCTTACCTGTATGCTGGCAGATGTGACCATTTGGCTCAAAATAATATGCTGAGTATTGAAGTAAAATTGCTTGAAATTGCGTCCCGATTCTTGCCATTTTGATAATTTAATATAATATATTAAAATTTGTCAATTGTGTCTTCTTGAAATCTGAAACAAAAAGAAAATTCGGTTAGAATCACCAAAAAAAAGAGATATAAATTTAATGATTCTGATGTAAAAATATTTTAAATACTAAGTTTATAATAAGTTATTTTATATGAATGGTTCTGTGGTGTATATAGAGAGTGAGGTGTAATTATTACTACATGAATTATTTCAGTATTAAATTTGGAAAGAAAAAGGAACTATTTGCATCAATTTTCCATATACGAATAATAAAAAAATATTTTATATGAACCACAATGTAGGAAGTTCAAAGGCAATTTTATTTTTAATATCTACACTTTGAAGTGCATATCAACTATTTGTTATCGGAAAATGAAGGTTGCTTTATTATTTGCATATTCAGTTCTATAATAAAATGAAATACACAGAATATTTGGAATTAACACTAGATTATTTTTTTAAATTTCGAGCTAACAATCATTGCATTCTACTTCATTGGAAATTAATTATAATTTTAATTAATGATTGTAGTGTAATGATTGTAATGATTGTAACGTATATTGTATTGGAGAAAATTAAATAAAATAGATTATTTATTAATGAACATGTAAGTTATTATTTAGGTAAAACAAATTTATGAATACTTTATTTTTTCCTTAATCTTTTTTAATCTTGATTGAAGAAAATTATTTCAACCACAGAAAGCCAGTATTTATATGAAAAAAAAAGATTTAATCCAAAAACACGTATATAAATATTTAATTCAATACATAATTTAGTGTTTCATTTATAATCAAAAGTAAGATTTATGTTATTTCTGTTACCGAATTCTGATACTAAAAGAAATTACGTGATTAAAACTGAATTCTTCATGCAATTTTATTTCATTTAGAATTCCATAGCATATATTAACTTAGAAGCAAAATTTTGAAAGTGAAATTATTTTGTCGAGATGAAATATTTATTGCGTTTATGATAGTTAATAAAACTTACATAATTGATAATAACTACTTTATTGTTTAATATCAGCTTAGAAAAGAGTTAGAAAAAATTGGATCATTCTGAAGAAATCAATAAACAATGAAATTTGAATACACAATGAATATTATGGACTTTTTTAAATAATATGAAGATTACTCTAATAATATTACTTTATCGAATAAAAGTACAAATCGAATCCTTTGATCTACAAAATATTTGTCTACATAAATATTACAAATGCAACGATTTGGAAAATTAAACGAGTTTGACATTCTATTTTTACAAATATTTCTGTATGAATGAATCACTTAAAAGAAAAACAAAGAAAATCTTTGTTTTTACTCGTATGCGTCAATGGAAAACATGAAATGCAAACCAAATATTATTTTAATAAATATTATTCTAGCATATTTTATACGTCATGAAGAGAATATTTATTATAAGTTTAAAAATAAGTATTTATACTGGTGTTGTTAATTTCTATAAAATCAAGAGTGTATACTTAATAATATGAAGTAAATAATTATAAAAATATTCATAAAAAATGTAAATAGTGTTAATCAATATTGTTTTTTAAAAAAATTGTTAACATGAACTTTGAAATGGTAAATATAAAAAATTAAATGATGTTTTTTACTGAAATAAATAATTTCAAAGGCGTTCTAATAAATAAACTGGTCAAAAATAAATAATTTCAATCTTAAAAAAACGAATGATGTTCAAGCATAAACAAATGAATACCAAAAATATACGTGCTTAATATTTTTAAATCTTTAAATTCTTGCATTTATTTTCAAGAAAATATAACAAAACCGTAATAAAAATTAAAAAAACTAGTGGTGTATGGCACCTGAGGCAAATTGCTGGAACTTCCCGTACCGTAATGATATATTTGAGTAAATTTAAATGCTTGCAAATTGATTATTATAAATACTGTAACTTTTATTATTCGTTTTTTTTATTTGACCTCTTATATTATTTGTAATATATGGGCAAAATATAGAATTTTTTAATTGGACGACGACTTTCATGCTTACATAAAAAGTAATAAACAAACTTAATCAAGCATATAGTTAAAATGTAGGACCTATATATATAAAAATATATAAACTGAATTGCAAAGTTTCAGAATTCAGCTAGAATTAGAAAATTAAAATCGGGAGTCATTTTCAATATTAAAAAAAAACAAATTTTTTCTAAATTGAGAAATCATTAAAACCCCGTAATTGTGAATGAAAAATTGAGTCCACACATATGCACACATACATATATCAATTTTCTTCACATACTTTGTGTAAAAATGTTCATTTTGGATTTTTCGACGATTACTATAATTTACTCATACGGAAAGTTAAAAAAAGTGCTAACAAATTATTATTTATTTAATTATATTATAATATTATTATTAGAATATTTATATTAGTTTATGGTTGTGAAAAACCATGTCTGGCTTTAATAAAAAATGTATAAACTATTGTATAAACTATAAATGTATAAACTATTTTTAACTTCCCGTAGGGTATTTATTGTAATCGTCCAAATATCGAAATTATAAATTTTGGCATTTTTTCGACGTTTTGAAGGTTTCTGAACATTTTGGCATACCTCAGAAAAAATGAATGTGTGTGTTTTGTCATGTCCACATTTGTTCGTTTCGGGCGCACGGATGCTTTAAAAAA